AATGGAGAACTGGGATCGGATCCTGAGCACCCAGAGAGCAGCCAAGATCCTGGTCTCGAGGAACGGAGTTCAGTGCACCAGTCAGTACAGACACAAAAAAAGGTTACTAGTTTTGTTGACAGACAGAAAAGGACTTCCTTCTGATTTTGTCTTTCTTTTTTTTCTCTGTGTTTACTGCTTTATTCCAATGCAAGTAGGAAGAGAAATATTTGAATTATTCACCATGAGGTACTGCTGGTATTTCCAAACGTCTAAGTACACTTAATTAAAGTTTTCCCCATGAGTAAGAAATTCATCTTAATGTAAAAGCTGACATACTGAGTAGAGTTTATATTTTTATTTCTAAGTCTGAAGAAAAATGTCTTGAATAAACTAATAGTTCCATAAGAAGGACTATGCCTAACACCGGGCAATTTCATGAACCACTGGTTTCTGCTGTTGCATATCAAGGCATTTTTTAGATTATATCTAAAGCACTGCTATTGTAGCATTCTAATCGTTTGTATGCCTACAGGGAGACATTACATACTTCTTATAAACTAAACGTCCTTACCATATAAAAAGAAAACATTGAAAAGTACTTTAAGAACAAAAAATATGAAAAATTAGCAAAAATTTTCTCTACTGAAGGGAAAACTATTCTTGAAAAGGTCAACCGTATCTTTATTTAAATACAAAATTTTGATGTAATAAAAGGCGAACTCAAATTTCAACGTAATTTTTCATTTGGATAAATGATAACTATTCTGAGAGGTCTGCATCTCATAGGTCATTTGAAGGAATTGTGATGTTAATTAGTGTAGAAATGGTACTAATTCCATAAACAGGTGAATATTTAAATCCTATTTCTTTACTTATGGTACAGAACCGAAATGGTTGGATGTTTTTGTTAGTTGGTTTCTTTGTCATTTGGTTCCTTATTCTCCCTAGAACTCAGGTAACTTGAAGTCTATCTATGCCAGCCTGTTTTCCTATTTGTAAACTCTATGTTTACATATCAAAGTTAAGCAAACTGTTGGCACATAAAAATCATAAACCACAAGGTTGGATCAAACTTCCTAACTTCCATTCTGTAGTTCAATCATCAGCCTAAGTTAGATTTCCTCTCCTTTATTCATCCATCATTTATTCATTCATTCAACAAATATATGTTGAAACCTGCTATGGTAGCATGACGCATACAGAAGAGAATAAGATAACAGAGGCCCCTGTTCTAAGGAACCTGCTGTTAATTGGAGGCCACAGACACTTAACCAAAAACAGTAAATGTGAAGAGTGCTAACAAATGGGGAAACAAAGTTTCATAGAAGTACAAGGTTAGCCGAGGTTTCCCAGACAAGATGCAACATGGAAACAATCATATAGAAACATGGATATTGTCCAACCAATCCTTCACCTTAATTTTCAAACATTACTTTTCAAATACTTGGCTGAGTAAAATGCTTGTATAATTTTGGAGAATCATGGTATGCTGGATACTTGGCCTATGCAGATTAATAACTTAAGGTAATGGAGCAGAAATTACCCTGATTTACATGGGTATATAATTATAGCATATTTTGTTCAGTCTGATAATGAAATTTTATCTACAGTTGTCCAAACATCTTGGGTCTAGAAACAGTTACAGGTCTCCAAACAAATCATTTCTAATTTTCATGTGGTAACTGTAATGACAACTTGAGAACTAGCTTCTACATGAATAATGTCAGAAGATATATCAGTGTTTCTAATTTGTCCTCTTCTTTTTCATTTGGCGGATAAACATTCTCAATAGCGATGATGAAATCAGCGCAGACAGACTGCTTTCATTTAAAAAGAGGAATGAAAAGCATGCTTCGCAACCAGCAGATTGGAAAAAAAGAGTCAAATATTTTTTAAAAAAATATGGCTGATGTCTGACTGATTTAAAGATATGGAAGCGTAGAATTTAAAAGTATTACTTTTAAACTACTTTTAGATATGACATTATTGTATGAGAAGGCTTGATAGCTTCCCTTAAATCAGTAATTAAGAGACGTAAACCTTTTGTACTATTTCACATCACATCAACATTCTTCACGTGACACTTGGTAAATGATGAGAATTATATAAAACGATTCCACAATTTAATGAACCAATATGGACAGCTGCATGTCTGTAGAATACGTGATCTCAGAAATAATTTAGACATTTATTCAGAAAAGTACTGAGTTTGCCAAATCACAGCTCTGTTTTTTTTTCCTTACTAAAAAGAAATAGTTACGATCTGAAGTAAATACATAGTAAATTCATCTAGGTGGTTTTTTAGTGTATTTAAAGGACTCCAGAGCTCAATTCTTTTTATCTATCCTAAATTAGTAGTAATTCTCTTTGGTATATTGTTTTGTCTGTTATATTATTTAAATCTTGAATTAAAAATATATGTGCAAAAAAATAAAAATATATGTGCACAGAAACACCTATTCCTAGGTGATGTATCATATATATTCACATTGGTGATTGGAAGTAGTCACAATGATTAAGATGGGCACTTAACAAAAACACAGATTACTTTTATTGCTAGAACTAAATAATATTAGAGCTGTCAATAGTGCAGAGAAAAATGCAGTCTGAAATTGCTAGCTAGAAACCAAGACCAAGAGAGGGCATACCACCATGCCAGTGATAGAGTGGAGGAAAAATGGAAGTTGGGGCTAGAATCTAGGCCTTATTATTTATTTATCCACTCATTTACCCCATAGCCATTTATTTATCGAGGGTGTGTGATGTGCTAAGCACTTTTCGTGGAATCTGAAGGCATGAAGATGAATGTCTGTTACAGTTCCCAGCCCCCTGCACAGCAGACTCCTTCCTCTAGTTATCCCTATTTTAACCCTTTACCTTTTTTTTATAAAAATATTCAAACATGTTAGAGAAGAAATGCAGAAAAGAAAAGATCTGAAACATTAGTTTGTGAAATTTATCAAGAAATAGAAAAAAAAAATAAGTGAAAAGAAAAACGAAAATTGGAAAATATCTGGACAATTTGGTTTCCAGAAGGATGTGGTGGAGAATAGGGAGAGGGAGGAACCATGAAAGCAGTTTCTCAGGACATAGAACATAAATGTCTCTCTATAAAAAGCCTTCTAAGCACCCAAATAATGGATTAAATTGAGCATATTATTGTGAAGTTAAGAACAACACGTAGGGAAGAAAGATACGGTCCTAATTGCCCACAGAAAGGAGAGATATAAATAATAAAGAAACATATGTACAGTATTAATAATCAGAATTCTGACAGCAGTGCTGAGAGCTGGATTGATGGATTAATGTGTTCAATATTTTCAAGGAAAATGAGATCTAACCTGTAATTTGTTATATGTTTGAACGATTAATCAAGCTGATGGAGAGAAGGAAGATATTTGAGATGTGAACCGTCTCAAAAAATATGCTTCTCTCTACTGTTTGTCAGCACGCTTCTGTGGTATGTTCTCAAATATGAAGTAGCAAAACAAAATAAGGGGACAGAGAAAATGAGAGATTAAAAAACGAGAGATTCAACTTCGGAGAGAGGTGAAGAGGATCCCTAAGGTGGTACCCAAGGCAGAGTGTGGCTTGAGTGCTGCGTCCTAAGCAAGGAGAGATCCAGGCCAGACTTCAGCCTCACAGCATAATATCCTTTCCCCTAAAGGAGCAAATCAGCACAGTGAACTTGAATAAATCTGGCTTTTACAAATGAGATGTAAATATGGAATGGTTTGAATGAGACAATGAGGAGACGATAAAGGTCACAGTAAAACAGCTGTTTCTCTTTTAACTCTTATTTTAGTAAGAGACTTCAGATTTCTGCACACTACACTTCAAAACGTAATGCAAATTTGCCTCAATAAAAGGAAGTGGCCGCTCCATGGCACACACTCATATATGCCTAAACTGCCCCTACACAACGCATGAAAAGTGGTAAACAGTGACTGACTCTAGGAGAGGGAAATAGGTGGTTGAAGCAAATAAATATAAGAAAATGGCTTTTCATCCACCACTGTTATGTTTGAAGTTTGTACCAAGAGCATGTATTATGTAGACTAGTGATGCAAATCAAAAGATGTAAATAAAGCATCCTCCCCACCAGTGTTCAGTCTTGTTAAATGTCTCTTAGCTCATCAGTTCTACAAATATTTTTTTCAGAAAGAGTGATGGTAGGCCCTACCCAGTCAGGCCTGCCTGGTCTTGAATATCCCCCAGAGTCAGAACTGACATCTTTGCTTTACTTATTTGTCACCAGGAAATGAGTTCAGAAGAGGAAGCCAAAACCTACCTAAATGTAATAAGGGACAAAAAGAGAAAAGAAAAACAGATAAGAAAAAAAACCTAACCAAATTAATTGGGAAAAATGAAGGGGGCAGTTAGAGGAAATTATGTGTGCACTGAAACCATTTAAAATGCTGGAATAATTTATGCACATATAATTAGCAAAATATGTATGAATTTTTAAGGGAAGGGGCAGATTTAATTTTCATAGGAAACAAAGCTTTGCTAATAGATTTTCAGTTTTGAAAGTTCATATGGTTTTATTTAGGAATAAATGAAAAATTTATAATGTCTTCATTCCACGTATGCTAAGTTAAAAGATGAACTCTTTTCAACTAAAGAAAATGAGCTGAAATGTGACAACTTATGGTTAAGTTTAGTGTTACTTATCAGAAGAAAGTTATCACACAAGGTTCATCTAGGGAGATGCCTGTGGCTCACAGGAGTAAGGCGCCGGCCCCATATGCCAGAGGTGGCGGGTTCAAACCTGGTCAGCCCTGGCAAAAAGATTTATCTATTTTTCTTGTAATGTCGAGGTTTAACCACTTTTCTTGGTACTTGACTTCAGGTTCATCTCTTCATCTTCCTATAGCGTTGGAACATTGACATCGCAACATCAATATTAGTATTATCCAACTATGCTCTTGAAATGGTTCCTAAGCAAATAACAAGTCTGAATCTGTAGCTTCATTTAATGTTAAAATTTTGTACCATATAAGAGTAGATATTAAATGGTCATTGCAACTACACACATACTAAAATAGTAATGTTAATTAGTGAAAATTAACATGGTCCTTGGACAAGGATGACATGCAAATTTGTAAAGCTTTCAATATTTATTATACAAAAACTAAGAAAATTTATTGCTAGCAAACCAGTTCCACCAGGAATACTAAAGAAGTTTCTTCAAATGTAAATGAAAGGACATTGTACAATAAATAGAACCCATATGAAAAAATAATGAGCTCTAGTAAATATAACTACATAGGTAAAAATTAAAAAACACATTATAAATGTATTTTTTGTTCATGATACTTTTTTCTCCTCTCTGAGTTATAAGACAGTTATATAAAACAACAACTACATATCTATGTTTATGGGTATATAGTGTATAAAAATGTAATTTTATGACAATAAAAGCACACAGGAGATACATAGAGATGAGGTGCATATAATATGCAAAGGATTTTTTCTATATTAGTGAAATTGTGTTGGAATTAATCATAATTAAACAGCACAAGTTAAGAGATTAATTATAATAGGGAAATTGTTAAAGAAATAACTTTAAAATATAGTAATAGATAAATGTTTTAAAATGATAAACTATTTAATAAAAATAAGTAATATAGGAAGAAGAATAAAAAAGATGTAAGACTCATAGAAAACTAATAGCAAAATCTTACACAAATTCTAAATGATTGCATTTAATGTAAAATAATTAAAAAACATTCTAATCTGAAGATAGAAGTTTTCAGAATGAATATTTTTAAAAGATACAGACATATACTCTCTCCGTGTGACACATTTTAGAATCTAGGACACATACTCATGGAATGTAAAAGAATAGAAGTCAACCATAAGAACTGTAAACAAAACAAAACACACAAAACCCCCCACAAATAAACAAACAAAATGAAAAGTTTTACAACAAACAAGTACATCTTTGTAATGTTGAAATAATCCATCAAGTTCATAGAAAAAAATTATAAGCATGTTTGCCCCAACAACAAAACTTCAAAATACATGAAGTAAAAGGGACATGACTGAAAGGAGAAATTGACAGTTCTTCTGATACCAGGTATTGTTGGATACCTGAATACTCCACTTTCAATAGCAGAAAAATTAGATCAAAGATGAACGAGAAAATGAAAGACTTGAATAACATTAGAAACCAGCTAGACTTAAAGACATCTATGAAACACTCTAACAGACACAGTAGAAAGTACATTCTTTTCAAGTGCACATGAAACATTATGCAGGGAATAAAACATATGTAAGGCCATAAAATAAATTTCAATAAATTTGAAAAGATACAACTGATATAAAGTATGTGTCCTGACAACAATGGAATGCCACTAGAAATTATTAACAGAAAGAAATTTGTGAAATTCACAAATATGTAGAAATTCAACAATATGCTCCTAAATAACATACAGGTCAAAAAAGAAATAAGAGAAATTGGTAATACATTGAGATGAATGAAAAGAAAACAAAACAAACACAATATATCAAACCTTATAGGATTCAGTGAAGGCAGGACTTAGAGAAAGATTTATAGCTATAAACATCTATATTAAAAAGAAGATCTCAAGTCAATAAGCTAATCTTTTGCCCTAAGAAACTTAAAAGAGTAGTAAACTAAAACCAAAGCAATCAGATACATGCAAATAACAAATACCAGAATGAAAATAAAGTGAAATAAAGAATTTTAAAAAATAGAGAAAAAAGTAGAAGCCAAAGTTGGTTCTTTGAAAATGTAGGCAAAAGTCACAACTTTGTACATGTCTATTGGAAGCTCTAAGAAAGGATATTAGGGAAGAGAAAAAAATAAAAGTCCTCCACATTGCAAACCTAGAAATAAAACTGTTTCTATTCACAGATAATATGATCTTACGTATAGACAGT